CCGCGGCCTTGGCAGGCCCGTTGGCTGAGCCAGCGGCCGACCGCCCGGCCACAGCAGGCCGGCGGTCTGGCCAGACCGGTTCAGACCGGTTAAGAACGGTTCACCCTATATTTTAATGTCTTAAATCCCGGTTCATGTTTAGGTCCCACTTTCAGTTAAAGTTCTGGGTCCGGTTCAGTTCAATAAATTCATATCAGTTCAGTTCTGATATTAAATCGGTTCCAGTTATACCGATTAAAGTTCAAATATCATGTCAAGTCCAGTAGAGCATCTTAACATATTAAACAACTATTTTTATCAGTCTGAGCATAGTATTTTGTAATTGTTTATATTATATTTCTGTTTGATCAGGCTACAAATATCAGCACTTCCTTTTCATTTCGACGGATCAGGTGGGGACTCAGACTGGGTATTACATTGATTATAATCCCGGTACCATGTCTGAGGTATGTATTATCATGTCATGTATCCGCTTGGAATGGTCGTCGGTCCATTCTTGGTTCTAGTGGCCTAGTCTGCCCACTAGAGTGTGCACATGGTGTCCGACATTTTATGCTAGCAGATGAGGTAACGGTCATGTGATGATTATCAGGTTATGATTATTTCAGTACCGGTTTCATGTTCAGTTTATGTATATACCAGGATCATGATATTGCAATTATTTTCACTGTTTACTTTAGTATGAGTTTCTGTGGAGCACAGTGGATTTAGTGCTCACACCCCACATTATTTATGTTTTTCAGGTCACAGAGTCGGAGCCGAGGAGTGAGCGGTCGGTTCAGGATTTTGGTCATGTGTTTAAAAATGTTTTGGCGACGCTACGTTTTTTCGCTAATTACGACTATTTATCGAACTTAGCTTTTGATCCGACTTTCAGTCGGTTAATATGTTATGTTAAACCGTTTTTTTTCTTTAAAGCTAAAATAACGGTTTTTCAGATAAAGTCATGTTTTATGGTAGCACTCCGAATCAGTATTTCGCAAATTAAATGTTTTTATTTCGAAAAACTTACGAAAAACGCACTCTGATTTTCATGAAATAGCGGGGTGTTACAGACATCCACGGGACGGGGTCCCTGCTTAAGCTCCAAGAAGTCCTTCATCATCTGGGCACGGTGAGCCTGTGGGTAATACCTGTCCTTGACTATAGTAACCATCTGGTCCCACGTCAAGGCATCCCTCTCAGCACGAGGACGAAGCCTCCAATAATCGGTCCACCAAGTCCTAGCATCTCCGGTCATCACGAACGAGGCACAGCAGATTTTCACCTCATCAGTGGTGAACAGCAGATCGAAGATACTCTCTAGATGCTGAAGCCATTCAGCCACAACTTCGGGGCCCTCAACCCCAGTGAACGCCGGTGGATACATGTTACGAAAATCGATCACAGCTTGGGTAATGGGATCTCTTCCCGGAGCGTGCTGATGAGGAGGAGGAGAAGGAGGAGGAGGAGGTGGGGGAGGGGGTTGCTGTTGATTTTGCTGGTTGTTGCGGGTAATGGGACCCATAGTTCTACATTGAAAAATGGCCGAAAGATTTAGCACAACAATAATAAAAGAAATCTAGAGTTCAACACTAGAGTTCACATTTAAATCATAGGTGCATAACTACTAAACCCAAATTTCATTTCAATAATCAATAATTAATCAATAAACAAGAATCTCAAAATCATTCAGGTACTCATACCTGAGCTGGCGCGGCACGACGAGAGCGAGTGGTCATAACACAATGTCAAGCATATATTCACATAATAAAATTTTCATAACTTAGACCAGTCTACAGAAACACAGACTGGCTCTAATACCAAACTGTAACGCCCCACTTTTATTTCCCGAAATTCAGAATAAATTTTTCAAAATTTATTTCAAAACTTTTGAGGCGCTACTCCTTTCAAAAACAATTTCCAATAATATCATAAATGCAACTCCCAAACAGGATCAATAATAACATCAACTCCCAAAATTGGGTTCATCAAATTCATAAATACTAGGGAGCACACTCCCTATCGATGGTCCTGTACTCAACGTAAATCAGAAATGCATAAATGATACTAAGCAGTTTTAACAGCGGAAGTAATATCAATAACATGACCACCACTCGCCTCCTCTTGTCGTGCCCGCAAATACTAGCCTGCATCCATGAAGAGCAGGTGGGGATGAGCACAATAGAAAAATCGAGGTGCTCACCGCTATGCAATAATTAACATTCAAATTCATAAAATAAAGCAGGCATGGTGGCGGTATGAACACAAATCAATTAATATCTCATCTCTTATCCCAGAGTCAACCCTCATGTGCATACCTATATCAATAAACTACAGCCGGCTATATATCGAATGGCCCTTGGCCTCACATCGAGTGCCTAGCCAGTAGGATATCAATAGACTACTGCCGGCTATATATCGAATGGCCATCGGCCTTACATCGAGTGCCTAGCCAGTAGGAGTAAATCCACCCCGATGGCCCTTGGCCTTACACGGGGATCACCAGCCAAGGTTCATGCCCTGACAGCCATACATAAATAAAGGAGACTACCCGAAGGTACATTCTATAGCTACGGGTATAACCGTTCGACGGCCGGTACAGCTCACATCGAACGCTACATAGTCCATATGCACACTTTGATCATACCACAATAAAAGCAATTAATTAAAGCATAGCAAATTTATAAATAAAACCCACCTGGAAATTTCGGTAGATAATAGCCCACAAAAGAAAGTACGTAGGATGAGCCTCAACTCCTCAAACACCTACATTTAAGGGAGATAATTTATCAATAATCTATCTCACTACTCGAATTTATCATAAAACTCATACTTAATAAAAATTAAGACTTAAGGGTTTTAATCCATTTTTTTTTCGTGGAGTTGGAACTCTCTCATTTTTGCAAAATAGGACTCGGAAAAATAATTTGGAGTCTCGGGACTTAAAAATATTTTCCCAAATTTCTTGTTTCATAAAATATTTTTAAAATTTAAAACAATGCGAAAAACGGGTTCTGAAACTCAAAATAGGCCTAAAAACCGAATTGGGCCAAGCTGCCAAATACTTTTCAAAGACTGCTCCACATTTGGGCTTTACACGCGCGATTTGGGGCCGAAATCATGCGTATATTGGGCCTGCCAACAGCTGAACATGCGGCTGGGACATCGGCTGGGGCGCGGGCTTTAGGCTGGGTGAGAAAATGGGTTGCGGGCTGATTTCGGACCATACGGCCCGCGCGCTGGAGGTGGGAGTCATTAATAAAAAAAATAATGGCTACACAAGGGGAGGGTTCGAACACGCGACCATATACACAAACATGCGTGTTGGTCACCATTGTACCACTCGATCTGTCGTTATTTTAAATGAACTCAAATATCTCTGAATATAAAAACGAGGCCTACGACTGGAAATAAAAGTACAGAGCCTGGGACTGAAAATCACAGAAACTGTTAAGCGAAAACAACATCGGGACTGAAAATCGACAACCAAATTTGACGACGAAATATCTAACGGTAACGGGATTCAAGAGATTATCAACAATAACATATTCTTGGAGTCCCGAAATATATTTTTAACAACAGTTTTGGCTCGACAATGGAACAACCAAATATAAAAAAAAAAAAAAAAAATGAATGACCGGGGGTTCGAACGACGGGAACAACCTAACGACGGCTTGAAACAACAAAACGAGACTCCGAACTTATATAAATTTTCACTCCAACGTAACGGTATTCACGTTTATAAAATCGAGAGTTCCAATCATCCCCAAAAATCCACGAATATACGAAATATATATAGGAACATACGAATCAACAAATAAACCAAATTCGAAACTCAACGAAACGATTCAACGCAAATGAAAACAACTGAAATAATAACATCTTAAACAACAATTTACGAGGGGGTTCAAAAAGGTTACCCGTCTTCGGGAATAACGGAAAAGCGGGTCGGACGAACAACGGGACCCGACAGCTCGAAGAATGGCTTGACGGACGGTTACTGCTTGCTCACAAACAGCCCAGTGGAGTCTTTCGGACGGACTGAGGCTGCTTTCGAACTCAGAAGGACATCGTCTTCGGGCTCGCAGGACGGTTCGATGGCTGAGGTCTGCTGCTCCTTTCGATGTACGGTGGCTGAGGCTCGGCGATGGAAATTTCTGTCAGACGCGACGAGGAAGGTGAGCTGAACGGCAGCGGTTGCTCAGAGGTGGGATCACCGGCGATGGATCGCCCAGTACTGCTCTCTTCGCCAGAAATTGCTGGTATGCGTTGATATTTTTTTTTTTTAAAAAAAGAACGAGGAAGATAGGAACAGAGGAGATCAACTTTTCCCTTCAAGGCTGCTGGAACTCATCTGGCGAGTTATATGCGAGAGATAAGGGTGGAGAACGTGCGATCGTGTGAGAGATTTCACCCAAAAGAATCGCAACGGGATTTTGAACGAGGAGGACTTGGTCGTCGCGGAAGGAAAGAGCAGATTATCTGATCGGGTATTACGCACGTGAAAATGATCCATTATGGGCTAAGATGATCTAGATGGATTAATTAAGGATTTGGGCAAAGGATAAATATCTCAATTTGGGCCAAAAATAATAAAGAGTTGGGCCAAGAAATTAATTACATTAGGCTGGAAATAGAATGGCAAAAGGCCGATGAATTAAATCGCTTCAGGCCGAAATAAAATATACGCGATAATAAGAATTTCCGAGATATTCGATCGACGGCGAGTAATAAATTAATCCGGATGATACATATACATATTACACACAATAATTATTTATTTAATCATAATATAATATTTAGACAATTAGTATTAATAATAGTAATATTACTAATAACATCAAATAATAGCAAATTGACATTTAACAACAATAATAATAATAGTACTAAAGACAATTAATAATAGCAATAAACAATAATTATTCTCAAATAATCCACAATAAAACGGGGTATTACATCGCGCGTGTGCTGAGCAGCACTCCTATGCCGAGGCAGACAGGTGTTGGCGTCTGGGCACACGCGTGCGTGCTGGGAAAGTATCCTGGGCGCAGACGGACTGTACGCGCGTACTTCTCGTGCGCTGGGGATAATGCGCGAACACCGACGGGTAGCGGTGGTGCTACGCGAGCAGGTGGATGGCCTGGGCTTCTCGCGCGGCGTTGCTGGGCGTCGCTGGTTGTGCCTGGCTGAGCACGGTTGCGGGATGAAGCTTGCGACTACGTTGGGCTGGGCACGGGCAATCTCCGACGACTGTAGGCAGCGGCGGAGATTTCCGGCGGTGGCTCACGGCGGCGGGAGGTGCCGGAAAATATGAACAAGAAGGTTCGAATAAATATTACCCAAAAGCCTTCTAAAGGATTACCTAAACATCTACTTCAATTAATCTTGGTGGAGCGATTAATCGAATCTCCCTAACTCTGAAAGAAAATTATTTCTCTCTTGAATGTAGATGAGAAAATCGGTCAGCATAACTCTTGCACAAGAGGTTGGGACATGATGTTTTTATATGCTCATTAGGGACCTTAAGGAGGTGCTAAATATGGGCTTATCCCATTAGGCCAAGAAATCCTAATTCGACTCCATATATTTCTCCAATCTAGGTTGGAATTCCTCCTACTAATAATTACCTTATAGAAGACTCCATAGTCTCCTAACCATAGGTAATATTCTAGAAGAAATATTCCCTTCTTAATGGAATATTAATTATGGAATAAAATTAATTCCTTATTAAATGGAATTAAATCATAAAACATCCACTAGAGTAATATTATTGCTCTCTCCACTTAGCTCCTAATTTATCTAATAAATTCGAACCTCTACTATTTAAATAATATTGAATCTGATTGACCGATTTACCTTCTTATGTGTAAGATATAACGTCCGTCGATTAATTAAATTTACTGACAAAATGATTAATCAACTTCTTATTCACTTTCGAAACTAGTACCACTCTAACTCATTAACCATTATGTCGGACAGTCGTCCACCTAGGGTTTAACATAATGTTCCTTCCTGAGCTCATTCCGGGGACGTCATCAATCCAGCGCACTGGAACATATTGACCATAAATAATTTATAATAGCACATCATATAAACACTCTCATTTACCAAAGTACCGAATATGCCATCCTAATAGAATAGAAATCACCCTTGGCAAATCAAATAAACAAGAAATGAATACATACGCCGATTTTATATTATCTTACAGCTTAAGAGAACACATCAATCGCCCAAGGTCTAGATTACAACAGCCAGTGAGTCTGATAATCTTATCCTTTCGCGGTCTTGTTAAACACCTATCATAAGTTCTAGTGTAATTCTCCAGTCAAAGACCAACTGAATCAAGAATACACTACAGTCTTTGTCCAAGAGGGTCTCACTGCATGTCTAGACTGTAAACGAATAGTTTAGTCTTATAAGGAACTGATAGGTGATCTTTCTGTTCGAAACACCTTGAACCACACTATCTCAATGTAAGACAAGGTGTATGATTGCATAAATAAATAAACTGCAAGCATATGTACTTTGA